AGAAGGCAAAGGATTTGGATTGTTTGCGTGGATACCGTGGAGGCATCAAGCTTTGTTTGTTGCTGTGATCAGAGTTTTGCTAACTGTGAGGTATAATTTCGAAACACCCGATTTATTCCGGTTCGTATGGGTCCTTGGAGGGTTACGGTTTTATTTTCCGCTGTGCTTGAGATCCCGTAACCCAACAAGTAAAACGTATGAAACAATCGAAAATCACACTGACTCATTTTCTCGAAGATAAATCACAAAATCAATCAGCTATGTTACTACTTTCATTCCATGAAGAACAAATATTTCGTTATAGATCAGAACCATTATCAACCAGTTAGGATACTACACGATCATTTTCATCGTAAATTAACTGCTGTTACTTATAAATTATTATATATCTAAATAAAAAAAATCTACATATGAGTTAACTCAACTTTGATATAAATAAAGGTGCATATAGCAACGCCAGAAAAAAAAAAAAACTATAGTATAATGTTATAAGCAATTATAATTTAGGGCATTGCTATATGCACCTTATTTATACTAGAATCAAGTCAAATCATGTATTAGAAATGTAAAAGATAGATTTTGGTGGTGAGTGTGCATTTAACAATATAAAGGGGGAAAATTGGGTTCCGATGAGAATGAAAGTTATGATAAGCAGAGTAAGAAACGATCTCTATGCCTTGATCGATCATAATTGAAGAGTAACACTACTGAGATGCAATGATACGCACTAGATCAATTCTCATGAGAAGCACAATTCAACAGTATAGATGATATTAAAAATGATCAAGAGTTCAAATATTTTCTTATGCTTTTCTTCTTAACTCTTATTCTCAAACCAGTATTTGTATATAAAAAGGGGACTACATTTTTTTTTTTATTTCTTATATTATAATAACTACGATGAACAAACTAAAATTACACTTAAAAGACTTGGTCCACTTTGTAAGACAAGGATTAAAATGGAAAATAATAATAAAACCTTAAAAAGAAAGAAAATGCCCAAAGAAGGTCGCTTTAAGAAAGTAGACCCACATTCTGAGTATGACTAATACTTCCAGCTCAGCAGGTGGGACCGAGTTGACACCAATTTACCAAGATTAACCAACTGAGTTGACTCACCGGAGTTTCCAAGCTGAGGTGGTGATCAGGGCTCGAGTGTGCCAACCCAACATTAAACAACCATCGTTTTCCACCACTTTATACCCATCGCCGCCGGCGAAAATGGCTAATAACATACTAGCCTGACGGAAAGCGTTGGACCCCAAATGAGCTGATCGAAATCCAGCCGAGTCAAACCGAGTCTTCCACTGAGTCACCGTCTCGTGTCGCTCAATTCGATCTTCCCCTTCGCATGCAACCACGTTACAGATCTGTTTCCCCAGGTATATCTCCGACATGATCTTGTCTTTATTGGTCGTTCCCACCGGAGAACCACCAGCGCCACCGCCGTTGCAGCTGCTTTCGAGCGAATCGTAGACGGCGGAATAGTAATGTAAAGATTCGTTGAACCTTTCCATGAAATCCACTCCGTTATGGTTAGCTTCTTGCTCCACCACCGTTACAATCTCCGGCTTCATGTTCCTCACCGCCGACAACAACCGCTCCACCGCCCCCGGCCGAGCCAGAAGCTTATGCAACTCAAAAACCGAGTTAATCGCAACCACTTCACCGTCTCGCAGATCAAGCATAGCTGGTTCAATATCAGCAAAACTCTCAACAACCAGAGGTCTGTACTCGAACTTTACACGAATTGAATCTGCCAGCTGAGCCAATTTCCAACCGGATTCCTGCAAAGGATTGGAACTATCCGATGGAGGCATTCCGATGCCGGTTAATCGGAACGAAGGTGGACCGCCTGGTCTAACAGCCAAGGCTTGCAACAAGGCCGGCCACTGGATACCTTGGTTCAAACTAAAATCAATCACATGAACCCTTTTCTTGAACGCAAAAGCTTCTAATATCGCTTGATTCGCCGTGAAATGGGCAAATTTCAGATACGGGCAAGCCTCGTAAAAGTGCATCTGAAGAATATTATTAATCGCCGGCGATTCTTGTGGGGTTTCGCTCTTAAATCGGTAAATTCTCCGTGCAAGAGCCTCGGAGAAATAAGCCGCGACTTTCCTCATTGGTCCGGCCTGAGAAACGGCCAAAATTCCGGCATGTTTCACTAGGTTTTCGGCAAGTTGGAAGTTCTCTTGGTGGACAGCTCCGGCACACGCCATCAGAGTGTGTACAAGCCGGATCCCATTATTCTGAGAATCCACTAGGATTGCCTGGTTCGAATTATTCGAAGTGGAAGTGGAAGCGGAAGCCGATAAGGGTTTTACTTTTTTCGCCGGAGGATGAATCTCGTCATCGGGGACAAGATTTTCCATGAAGGCAGAAGTTGGGTCCACTGTCGCGACTGTTGTCGGTGGAAGGTTAACGGTGTTCATGGTGGAATCATCGATCACAAGTGGTTGAGTTGCAGGGTTCAGCTCGACCATCATGGTCTCAAGCCACGTTGACAGATTTGACGGATTGTAATGAACGGAATCAGAGGCAAGCTGAGATAATTCGTCATCATTCACCAAAGCTTCTTCAAGTTGCTGAATTTTATCGGCGACGTCAGCCATATCTGCCGGCTTAACCTTATACCCCAACACCGCCAACAATTCATCATCACCGGTATCTTGTTCTTCATCTTCATCCCACATCTTGGATTTCCCGGTCACCTCAGACCTCAATTTCGGAAACCCACCACCAGCAGCGGAGGTGCTGCCGCCGCCGCCGCCACTGAAATTCCGTTTCATTTAGTTCGTCTGATCGATTTTCTGTTTCTCTCTCTATCTGGATATGATTCCCGAATTGGGAATCGGAAAGAGGGTTATGAAAGGGTGAAGAATCTGAGCATATGGGATTGGTGTGATTCGTGATTACTGTAAGTCCAAAGTATAAACTAAAGAAGAGATGTGAGGTGCTTGTGAAGGGTGGGCGTGACCACCTATGAACAGCGGACAACGTGACACTTCCCTTTAAATCCATCTCATTTTCAAACAACAAAAAATTAAATGAAAATTAATTTTTTTTATATTCAATATTATCTAATTCTTCTTTTATATTAAGGTGGATATCCAACTCACGACCACCTGTTTTATAATCGTCCGGAGCCATCGCATTTAAACCTCCATGGCTGTAAGGGGATTTTTATTTCTCATTTGATTTGAACCTGGGACCTTATAGTGCTTTTGATCTTTGGATTCAAACTTAAACCAATCAGAAACCACCCTTATGGTTTTTCAATATTATATTTAAATAAAAAATATGGTTTTTTATTACACTTTTGCTTCTATTCACGTTTATTTTATTTTGAAATAAAAATCATATGTTTTATCAATCTCGTTACCACTTTTATTTCAGATTTAGTCATATTAATTTCAGGGTATTTTGATTTTTTTTTACAATTATATTTTGTTTTAATTAAAAAGATGAAATATATTCTAATATTATACATCGATGTATATAGATATTATGTTAGTATATTTATGTATTGTTTCTGATTCCAAATCTAGATATGTCGACTTTGTCTCCTATCATGTTGGAAACGTTTGCCCGAGCTCCACCTACAAATCTTTCCCTGGCTAACCCATCAGCCACCTCCCATTTCCGGTGAACCCCAACCCCCATCTTGGGTAGCAACCTGTCACCATGAACCTCACCATCTCCACCAGCCATCTCCATTTTATGAATTATGTCTACATTGATCTTTTACAACACATAAAACCTAACTTTATTCCTCATACTTGCTCTGAGTTCCATCTCCAACCGTGCGACAAGGTTTCCCATCATAGGGATTATCAACTTGATCATCCTAGCTTCGCTACAAAACTATGATCAACAACCAGTCTGTGTCAGTCGAAGTGGTGGAAGTCCCGTCACCTCTTGGTTAAGGTTTTGATTTGAGTTTTGTTTTAGGGATTTGATTAGTTTCCGATTTAGAGTTTTTCTTTTGGTTTTGGATTTAGGGTTTGATTTAGTTTATGTTTTTAGATTTGAGTTTTCGAAGTTGGATCTAGCTTTATTTTTGAATCTACGGTTCATTTCGAAATCTAAGTTTGTTTACCAATTATGGTTCCATTTGAAATCTAAGTTTGTTTGACAATTATGGTTTATGTTGGAATCATGGGTTTGCCGGAGGAGATGATCAGAAGGCGTGGAGATTCGTCGAACTATGGAGGCGTCAAGCGGAAAGGTGGGTGGCATCAATAGGTTGTACACATGATTTAGGGTTGTGTACAATAAAATTTATTTTAAAAATTAAAAAAATGATGATACAACAAAAATGTAAAAAGGCCAAAATACTCTTAACTTAACTGAGTTTTTTTAAACCGAGTTAACAAGATGACCAAATTCGAAACAAAATGGCAACCAAATGGACCAAATCCAAAATAAAATGTTAACCGCAATGATCAAAAATGTAATTATTTCAAAATAGGCACGAGACTTGAAAATGAGTCGCAATGACATGGTACTCTTTTTATTATTAATAATGTATCTATATGATATTGTCGGTGTAAAATTTTATTGTAAATGGGGAATGAAAATTAAGACATGATAAAGACCAGAACTGGGTAGAAAAATGTAGGTCCAAACAGGTGGAACAAGATGAGACAATGATGAGACATGAAATAATAATTTATTAATCTACCTTCGTATGATATAACCTTAATATTGTAGTTGTTATAATGGTCACAGCCGCCGTCACCATCAACAACTACCGTCGACCAGCTTCATTCCTCTTTCATTACAACAACCTCCTCCAGACCATCGGCCATAACAACCAGCGACGGACCTAGAAAATTTTCAAATGGTGATATCATTTGACTATAAGAAAAAACTATAGGGAAAAAATTCAAACGGTGGCACCGTTTGACTATATGAAACAAATATACATAGTTCTTTTTTCAATCAGTGACACCATTTGACTAAGAAAATGGCATTAACACGATTCAAACTTAGGTTTCGGTGGAATAAAGCTTTGCAAACGAACTTTGTAGTTTCAAAATGCATATGGTGGCACACAACATATTAATATGGTTGCACCTTTCACAAACCTAAAATTTTTTATCCTTCGACGGAGGAATAATACGGTGGCCCGTGCCACCTATACAACCAAAGTAGGTCAGTCCCTGATCACAATCTCTACCTCCACTACATCAACAACAACTACTTCATCTACCAATGTTGACCACCATCACTACGATCCATCATCTCCACATCCTCCAAAATCACCGCCGTTCACCAGTCATCGTTGCCTCTATCTCCACCAACATTCACGTTGCAACAACCTTCATCACGCCTCCAACAATTCACAAGAATCTTCCAAACCAAATAAAACATAGTTTTTCTTTTGTACGAACCGGATTTTTTTGACCTACCATCAATTATATTAAATTCTTTATTCAAATTATGTACTATTATATATATATATATATATATATATATATATGTTATTGTGTGTGTGGGACGATAATCAAATCAGAACCATAAAAAGTTAACAAACTTGTGAGAACCGATATAAAAATATCTTTTTACATTATTTTTTGACCAAAATCTATGATTTATTGTTTCACATATGTTTATGTTCACATTTTAAAAGAATTTGCATGTGAAGCTTTTTTTTATTTACTTAGTGAAACGAAAAATATACATAAAAAAAATTCATATGGTGAAACAAATACATGTGAAACTATCACATTATGAATATATGTGAAACAATATCTTAAACTATAGCATTCGATGAAAAAAATTATGTAAAAAATTATTTTAAAAAATCGATTTTCACGAGGTCTGTAATCTTTTTGTATATATATATATATATATAGAGAGAGAGAGAGAGAGAGAGAGAGAGAGAATGGTAAAAATTTATTCAGGACGTGGTTATTGGCAGACCCACTGGACCAAAAGCTTCACAAGCTCAAGCATTTACTTTTCTATTGCCACAACATGGGTGTTCTTCTTAACAAAAATTGTTGTATGTCGTTTTTTATCCGACTCAAGTCCTTCCCATTTGGACCTGTGGATGTCTATTTGTCGGGTGCCCACCTAAACCAGAAGCAATTATGTGTGTGTGTGTAGAGACTTGGGATCATGTGAGATCAAAGGTTTTTCGTGAGACACGTAAAACCAATTCTCAACCCTTGGATTAGATCTACAATCTGAACATTCATAATCACAAAATTGCCACGAGACTTCTTAATAATCACAATATTGTCACCGTACAACTTTAGATCATTAGCTTATAATGTTGATCAATGAACATAAATTGGTCTTACGATTCTCACGAAAGACATTTTATCTCACGTGAACCCAACCCTATATATATATATAGGGAAGGGTTCAAACGAGAACCCCTATGATTTACGAAAACGCGAGAACAACTCAATAATCACATATTGTGATAAAAAATAAAATTAAAAGATTTTTAAAATTAAAATTAAAATTTAAAAAGATTCAAAAAAATTTAAAATTAAAAGGGTAATAATGGAAATGATATATTATCTAGAAAATGGTTAGAATCTTTTAAACTTATCATTAAACACAATCAAAATCTTTTAAACTTATCATTATCATCTACAAAACGGTTACGATTACAATCCTAACTTCAAATCACAAGAACTACGGACGGCGACGGTGTTGATCGATGGTGACCAACCAAGAACACACAACCATAATCGATCAAGAACCCTAATCGAGAAGCCATTGCATGCAACAAGCAACCCTAATCATGTGATAATCATGTGATATGGGTGTGATAATCATGTGATATGGGTGTGATAATCATGTGATAGGGGTGTAATAATCACCGTTATACATCAATTGGATTATCGTTTTGGTTGATAAGTTAAATTTTTGGTGTAATCATGTGATATGAGTGTGATAATCATGTGATAATCATCGTTATACATCACTTGGGTTATCGTTTTGGTTGA